CATTGTTATGCAATCGCTCCCCCTAAGTCCACTCTACTCTGCAGCCTTCATTCTGGACTCATGTCATGACAGTAATACTTAATCATATATCCCTTTTAAACAGTTCTCTCCCTCATGTTTCAATGCAGTATACATCATTCCTTCCCTCCTTCTCTGTCTTCCCTCAACCCCGATATCAGTCCCGTTTTACAACAGTAGCCCTATGCAATATTTGTCCTTTTGTGACTGAGATATTTCACTCAGCATAATGTCCTCCAGGGTCATCCATTTTGCATAAAATTTCATTAGTTCCTTGTTTTTCAATGCTGCATAGTATTCCATTGTCTGACTATACCACAGCTTCTCTATCCATTCGTTTGTTGATGGGCACTTGGGTTGTTTCCAGCTCTTTGCTATTGCAAACAAAGCCACAATAAACATGGGTGTGCATTGCCTGTTTTTCTTGCATCACTTTCTCCCTCATTCACAGCACACAGCTGCGTCCTCCTCCATCAGCCTCAGGGTCTTAGCATGTGCTGTTCCCTTAGCTTGAAAGTCTCTTCCCTCAGCTCTAAGCTGGCCAAGACTTTCTGGGCTCTCAGGTCTCAGCTGAAACATCACATCATCATACAGGTTCTCCCTGACCCCTGCGAGGTAAATGAGAACCCTTTCCCTCTCTTTCCCTCTCAGAATTTGCAGTACTTCTCCTGCATCCCATTTACCAACCTCTCAGAGCTGCTGTTTTTTTTAGTTTGTTTATTTAATCTCTGTGTCTCCCAGAGTCCAAATTCTCCAGGAAACTAAGGACTGCAATCTCTCCTGTTCACAGCTGTACCCCCGCCCCCAGCCCAGGACCCGACATAAAAGCAGACACTCAATAACTATTTGTGGAACAAATGGATCTTTCATCTCGTCCTCATCAGAACCCCATTCCCAGACTTTCTTTCATCTCTGGTCTTTGCATGAGTTGCTTCCTCTGCCTGGAAGGTTCTTTTCTTCCCGTCCCACCTGGGCGGATCCTCACATCATTTATGACTCAATTTCTCTAAGATTTGTCCTTGGCCCCCTCATTTGAATTAGGGTTTCCCTCTGGGCTCCCCTAGTACCTCATGCATAACACTCTACCATACCACTTTACAGCTGCAAATTGCCAGGTAAACAGGAGAGGTTCTGACAATAATGATCTCCTCTCCATTCCCCCTGGCCCTCTCACTCCAGCTGGCTCAAGGGCATCCACTCTTGCCTTTCAAACCACCAGGAACCCCATTTCCCATTCATTCAATAAGCACTGATCAGGCTCCCACTGTGCTGCTTTCTTTACTGCAGCCTTGGGGAGAGTGGAGTGGGGAGGGAGACAGGAATCTTCCAAGAGTGAGACAGAAGCAGGAGAAGGCAGCAGGTGCAAAGCAAATGCCCACCATCCACACCCACAGCACAGTGGGTGCAGAGAAAACTGAGGGGTGAGACTAGCCCATTCAGGTCTGCGCCCTTCCCTAAGCACCTGGTGGGGGCAGGGCACTGTGGTGGAAGATGGAGGGGATGCAGACAGGTGAGCCTGGATGACAGACACCTTGATCACTACCTCCAGCACAGCTCTACTGAGCTTGGTACAAGTCAGAGGTTACTGTCTGTCAGCCCACGCTGGAAAACTGGAGGGATCAAGGTTGGGAAGGACCTTTTCTCCTCTCTGGTGTTCCTTAGAGGCAAGGATGGTGAAACTTGGTCTCACAGACTTTGGGTAAATTGTCAGGAGGGGTCAGGCTTTCGGAAAAGGTACCATCTGAGAAAGGTGGAAGGTCAGAGGAAGGAAGACCCTGAATAAGATGGACTGATGCAGTGACTGTGGCAATGGGCTTGAGCATGTCAGAAGTCCTGAGGACGATGCAGGAGAGCAAGGTTCAGATCTGTTGTCACAGGGTCGCTATGACAGAGACGTAGGTAACTCGGCATCACATATAACAGTAACAGCCTCTCCTATTATAGCCAGTGAATTCTCCAAAAGCTTTGAAAAGTTGAAATCTGAATGGGTTTTGAAAGGGGTCTTCAAGGGAGCTCCGGTGATATAGTCCATAGCGAGTCGCAATGCTAATCCAAAGGCTTGGAGTCTCCAGCAGTTTGAATCCACTAGCGGCTCCTCAAGAGAATGATGGGCAGTGTCCTCCTACTGCGATTTACAGTCTCAGAAACCCACGGAGGGGTCGTTATGGCAGGCTGGTGATACCGACAGGTGGGTCTGTGTGAGGGAAATTTGAGTTTTGAAAGCCTTCAAAGTTTCTTCATAAACAAAAGTCTAAACCCAGGACCCCCTATTTGCCTAGTCCCAGCCTCAAATTCCAGCCTCCTCTCTGTGCTACCAGCCTCCAGCCCTTTGATCAGTGCTGCCAACAGGAATAATAGCCTTTAACTAACTCTGACTCCTTGCAACTTGACCTGCCTCCTCCAGGAAGCCCTCCCTTACCATTCCCCCCCCCCCCCACACACACACACACTCCGCCTCCACTTTCTTGGTTGCATCCATAATGCCTTGAACAAGGATCTGCTATTCTATTCACCACACTGTTATAATTATTGATTTTTCTGTCTCTGCTCTGCACTGGCCAGTGAGGTCCTTGAGGGCAGGGATGGTGTCCCATTCATCTCTGTAACCCAGTCCCTGGCCTGGTGCCTGGCACAGAGGACAAGCTTGGCCACTGGTTGATGGATGAGTGCGGAGGGGGGGACCTGAAAGAAGCGAGAGCTAGGAATGACCAAGAGAGGAGTGAGGAGAGCAAGTCTGACAGGAGGAGCTGCCAGAGCAAATGTGTGGGAAGTGGAGAAGAACTTCCATTTACTGCACTCCTCCAATTGCCCGCCAGCCCTGTGCTTTGTTTGCACATTTTGTCTCATTTCATTCTTGCAACAGCAGATCAGGAACCTGGCATCAGAGAACCGCAGCTACCTGCCCAAGGTCACACAGCGAGGCCTAGAGTGGAAACCAGGGTTGTCTGCCGGGAAGCCTGTGGTCTTCACGCTGGGCCACACCGCTCCCCAGGGAACGGCCCCACACTGCTCCCTAGACCTTCTGGAGATGGACAGGGAGTAGGCCCAGCTCCGCCTCTGCCTTTCTGAGCACCGGAACCAGCTGCCCACGCTCAGGCCGACAGCTTCTTCCTCCCAGGCGACCAGGAGCTGGGAGGACAGCAAGGCTTTACCTGTTCTGTCCTTCTCTGGCTTCGTGGGGGTCCTGGAGTGGGTATGATGCTCCTCACAACGAGTAGTGGGGCTGCTGAATCCTGTTACATACAGCCTGAGGTGCCCAGGGAATGCAGGGGGCTTTGTGATGCTGTCTGGCTTCTGCAGGATCTGTCTCCCTCATCGCACTTGGCCCAGGCTGATATTAAGATTCATCTGCATTCCCCTCGCACCCGCCTGGCAGATGGTGGGGGAGGAGGCTGGGTGCATGCTGGGGGCTGCAGCCAGGGACCAAGCCAGACCTTTGAGGGCCACAGCAAAGTGACCACCCACTATGCCCCTTAGACCCAGTCCAGGCTGGGGGCCACTCCCAATTCTGGGGTACTTCTTATCCTCCCAGTCTCTAAAGGGTGTTAGGTCTTGACCTTTGAGTTTTCTAAAGACTGAAGGGCCCTGGGGTTGCAGAAAGAAGACTCAAGATAAGAGTGCTAGTGATGGGGACCTTTGGTCATCTCAAATCAGCATCTTGTTCTTCCTCCTTGTCCTGCGGGTATTCAGGGACCCCACTGGGACAAGAGCTCTATCTTCCAGGCTGGAGACCTGACCACAAGGAGGGGTAAGAAGTGAAGAAAGGAGGGGCAGCCTCCAGGGAGGCCTGGTTCGTCCCTCTCCAGTTTCTCAGTTTCTCCTGACCCAGGCCCAGGATACTGCCTGGCTCATAGAGGGTAGGAGAGGCTGAAAGAAGCAGAAAGGTTCTTGTCAAAAAGAGTGGACTAAGATGGCCAGTGGATTGTCCCAGTGTCTCCAAGAAAGGGAGAGGAGGAACAGAATGGAAACTGACATTTTAGCAAAAAGAATGCAGGCTAGACACCTAGAAGAACTTACCTCAGCACAGAAGCGAGTTATGCAGGGCATAATAGCTGTTAGGCTGGGCAGATAAGCTATTTTGACAACAAGGAAGGCAGTCTTTTTTCACTATTAGAACGGGTTTGGGGAAAAATGACCTTTCCAAATTCCAGGCCTCCTGAGGGAGGGGGAGGGCACACATTCCCGAAACTGGCTCAGAGGGAATCAGTGCCCAGCCAGAAGGTGGGAAAGGTAGGATCGCTGGCCCTCAGCCTCAGGACTCACTCAGCCCCCGCCCCCTACTCCCCTAGGATTGGAGAGCAAGCGCCCGAGGTCCCCAGGCTGCGGGCCGGCAGGGGAGGAGTTAACACCGGAGGTACCGGCTGGGCTCACCGTACCTGCCGCCGCCGCCGCCGCCGGTGGGAGGGACGAGGCAGCCGGAGCCGCCAGGGCGCCAGGAGCGCTCCAG